TGTGTGTGTGTATGTGTGTATGTGTGTGTGTGTGTGTATGTGTGTGTATACCTGTGTGTGTGAGTGTGGGATACCTGTGTGTGTGTGTGTGTGTGTATACCTGTGTGTGGGAGTGTGGGATACCTGTGTGTGTGTGTGTGTGTGTATACCTGTGTGTGGGAGTGTGGGATACCTGTGTGTGTGTGTGTGTGTGTATACCTGTGTGTGGGAGTGTGGGATACCTGTGTGTGTGTGTGTGTGTGTATACCTGTGTGTGGGAGTGTGGGATACCTGTGTGTGTGTGTGTGTGTGTATACCTGTGTGTGGGAGTGTGGGATACCTGTGTGTGTGTGTGTGTGTGTATACCTGTGTGTGGGAGTGTGGGATACCTGTGTGTGTGTGTGTGTGTGTATACCTGTGTGTGGGAGTGTGGGATACCTGTGTGTGTGTGTGTGTGTGTATACCTGTGTGTGGGAGTGTGGGATACCTGTGTGTGTGTGTGTGTGTGTATACCTGTGTGTGGGAGTGTGGGATACCTGTGTGTGTGTGTGTGTGTGTATACCTGTGTGTGGGAGTGTGGGATACCTGTGTGTGTGTGTGTGTGTGTATACCTGTGTGTGGGAGTGTGGGATACCTGTGTGTGTGTGTGTGTGTGTATACCTGTGTGTGGGAGTGTGGGATACCTGTGTGTGTGTGTGTGTGTGTATACCTGTGTGTGGGAGTGTGGGATACCTGTGTGTGTGTGTGTGTGTGTATACCTGTGTGTGGGAGTGTGGGATACCTGTGTGTGTGTGTGTGTGTGTATACCTGTGTGTGGGAGTGTGGGATACCTGTGTGTGTGTGTGTGTGTGTATACCTGTGTGTGGGAGTGTGGGATACCTGTGTGTGTGTGTGTGTGTGTATACCTGTGTGTGGGAGTGTGGGATACCTGTGTGTGTGTGTGTGTGTGTATACCTGTGTGTGGGAGTGTGGGATACCTGTGTGTGTGTGTGTGTGTGTATACCTGTGTGTGGGAGTGTGGGATACCTGTGTGTGTGTGTGTGTGTGTATACCTGTGTGTGGGAGTGTGGGATACCTGTGTGTGTGTGTGTGTGTGTATACCTGTGTGTGGGAGTGTGGGATACCTGTGTGTGTGTGTGTGTGTGTATACCTGTGTGTGGGAGTGTGGGATACCTGTGTGTGTGTGTGTGTGTGTATACCTGTGTGTGGGAGTGTGGGATACCTGTGTGTGTGTGTGTGTGTGTATACCTGTGTGTGGGAGTGTGGGATACCTGTGTGTGTGTGTGTGTGTGTATACCTGTGTGTGGGAGTGTGGGATACCTGTGTGTGTGTGTGTGTGTGTATACCTGTGTGTGGGAGTGTGGGATACCTGTGTGTGTGTGTGTGTGTGTATACCTGTGTGTGTGAGTGTGGGATACC